ATTATGTAAAAATTCAGAAAGTAATAAAATATTATGAAATGAAATTTTCCACAATATATATTGAATTACAATGAAAATGATTAAATTCGAAGTAATCTGAAACAATAAACCTGAAACAAAATACATTAAAATACTAGCTGTTGAATTTTGAAAGTTTACGTTATCATTAAAAAATTTAGTATTGAACTTTGAAGTTTTTTGATAATGAAATAATACATATCAAAAATTAACCATTAAATTTTGATTTCGAAGGGTTGCGACATAATCAATAACCTTCGAAATCTAACATTACAATATAATTTCAAAGGTTTTCGAATTAATATAATTACTGATGTTGTACCAATCAAAATCTATTAGAAAAAAATTTTAAGTAAATCATATAATGTATTAATTAAATTTTTTTTTTTTTTTTTGTTCTAGCGAAGTCTTGTCTCAAATTTATTAATTAAAAAAAGAGAAAGTTTTTTACATTACATAAGATTACATAATACAAAATACACAATTTATTCTAATATTTATTTGAAAAGATGAGACTTGAACTAACTCATAAGAGACAGGCCTGCAACTTACCACCTGATAATGTATTAATTAAATCATATTGAATTTTAATAATTGTGATTATACTTTCAAACATAATTTGATATAATTCAAATTTTAATATACATTACTAAGTAAAATATATACTTGTTATCAAAAGTAAATGCCTTTAATTCAATTTTAATTTTTTCAATTTTTAATTGTTTAACTCAATTCAATAGTTTTGATAACATGTATAATAAAACCTATGTATTTGTATTATTAATATATCTGTATAATTGTTATATAATTATAATACTTACAGCTTTTTTACCATTAGTTTTGTTTTTTTTTAAAAGTAAAACATGTCAACAATGTTCATAAAATAACTTGAATATTTGATATTTGTCTTTATATACACTCTTTTTAAAAACTTATTCAATTTGTCAAAAACTTAATCTGCATATTCAGTAGTAAAAGAGAAATTCAACACTAGTCAAATACAAAAAAATCACTGTACTAAGTGGTAATTCTTATTTTATAGATTAACTAAAATTGAAATTTCTATATCACAAACTAGCTAAATTTAACTGTCTTATTTTATCATATATTATAAATCAGCTAAAATCAGAATTCCTATTTGTATACTTATTCTTTTGTATTTGACCTGTGCAACTTGTCAAAGACTTTATCTTTATCTTTAATAGCAGAAGAAAAATGAGCTGTGAGAAGACAAGTAAGCTTTATTTAATACAAGGGAATGGTAAAGATGATGGTACAATAAACTATCTGAATTTTAACATAATAATCTTTAATATTATGAATGTCATTTATTGCACCTCATTCCTTACTAAAATTATTAACATATCTATATAATTACTATGTGATCATGAATGTCGTTTGCTGCGCCTCATTCCTTACTAAAAATCAGAGATTTATAATCTTATAAATGAAGAGTGTAGTTTATATAGTTATAAAAGTCAGGATGTGACGCCTAGAACCCAAAAAGTTATTTTTTTTCCTTCGACAATAATACAATAATATAATCCAGTAATAAAAATACAAGTAGAGACAACTTTTTTTGTAACACTTTCCTTAGAATAATAATAATTTTTTTCCTAAACAAGACTTTATTATTGAATATAAATAAATATAAAATTATATACTTTTTTCTTGAACAAGACTTTATTATTATTGAAAATATAAAACATAAAAATTAAAAATGGTTAAACACACTGTCATTGCTCGAATCTCGGATGGTTAGTTCTATCATTAATTAGATCTAAAATATCAGTTATATTAACTTTATCTATTTAAATAGGTCTTCCATTAGCAGCTTCTGTGGATGACGATCAGGTAAAACCATCAATTTTTTAAAATAAATGTATGTTCGTGATTTTACGCGAGAAACCATATTAAATGAAAATTAATTTAGAATGTGGAGGCTGAGCTTGCAGATTACAAAAACAAGGCGAAACTTCTCTTCAAAAAAATGAATGAAAATTCCGAAGAGAGGTGTTCTATTGAATCCGGAAGTTATTTTTTCCAGTATGTTTGAATTAATTTTTATCATTTTTATCAAATTGAATTAATTTTTATCAAGAATTAATTTTTACCAAGTTAAATTTAATAAAAACTTCATTTTTATTTTACATAGTTATTTAATTCAAAATGGAGTATGCTACATGACAATTTGTGAACGATCGTATCCTCGTCAATTCGCGTTTAGTTATTTAGAAGAACTTGCAAAAGAATTTTCAATGAGTTACGGGAATGAAGTTGAAAAACGAACTTTGAGGCCATATGCATTTGTTAAATTTGGTAGATAATAACATTCTTTACGATAATTAATCATAATTAAGAGTAATAATTATAGTGTAGCATAATAATTTGATGTATTAATAATTAAATTATTTAATTTATTAGATACTTTTATGCAAAAGACCAAAAAGGTATATCAAAATACACGAACACAAACCAACCTTGATCGATTAAATACTGAATTAAATGAAGTAGCCAATATTATGACCAAAAATTTGGAAAATGTTTTGTGGCGAGGAGAAGGATTGGAAAGTAAGTTTTTTTTTTTCAAATATTTGTTTTATATTAGTTTATTTTAAAAATATATATATTTTTTTTAATAAATAAATTTTATCTTATTCTGTCATTCATATTTTCATACTTTAAAGAGATGAGTTCTTTATCTGATCAACTTCGTTATGAATCTCAGAAATATAAAAAATCTGCAAGAGATCTTAATTGGCAACTTTTCCGTCGTAAATATGGACCTATAATAGTTGTGTTATTAGTATTCGTATCTGTATTTTATTGGAGATTCTTTTGGTATTAGAACAAATATAATCATTTAATTTTTCAAAGGAAAATTCTTTTCAAGATAATTTATTTTCTTTTCATGGAAACATTAATAATTAAAAATAATAATAGAAAGAAAAAAAAAGGTAAATTAATAATCATCGAGATCATGATTTGGCTTAACGGTTGAATTATTGAAGAAAAATTGACTTTTGTTGGAAAATTTATTTCCAAAAAAAAAAAAGCAAATGATAAAAATTTATATTTAATTAATAAATAGCAGCAGCAACTTGTAGAGATATTTTTCTTTTAACTTATTTAACCTATTTTATATACACAGATATATATATTATAGAATTTTGAATTTTCGTTTTTTTTCTGGATAAAACAATAATAATTATTAAAAACCTTATTTGCATAATATTTTGAGATAAATTCTTTTTTTTTCTTTTCGATTTAAATAATTTACTGTACAAAATTTTGTAATATCAAGATAATAATATTGTAATAACAAATAAATCAATAAACACGAACTTATCGAGAATAATTAATAATCATTATAAAAATTTTAAAGTTTAACACGAATTTTTTATAGCAAATACTATATATATAAATTTTTTATTCTTTATTTGAATAAAATTTTAATTTACCGAAAGAAAAAAAAATATAGATAATAGAAAGAAACATCTAGATATTAATAAGAGTGGTAATAAAAGTAGAAGTAGTAAAATAAGGGTACGGGGAAAATTCCAAACTTGTCGTATCGTCTTTTTTTTTTGGATGATAAATTTATCATCGAAAAGAAAGACAAAAAGACGATATGACTGGTTTTATTTAACGCTTTTTGAAATATTCCAATAAAACGTTCCTAGCTTCAGAATCTTCACCATAATCTTTTACCACCACACAAGAGCAAGCCACCACTTTTCGTGGATTACCTTCTCGATCAATTTTACATAAGCCTGCCCATTCACCTAATTTTTTTGCATCGCTAACTTTAATTAATTGAATATTATGTTCATTACAAAGTGCTTCCACTAATTTAATGTACTCCTTTTCAGTACAGGTTTCAACTAGAACACATAAATGAGCTTGGCGTCTGTTTTAAATAAATAAATTTATATTTATGTACCACATTATTATTATTATTATTATTATTTAATTTAATTCTTCGTAGTAGTAGTTCATAATAATATAATAGATAAAAATATTTTACCTGTCCAAAGCTTTGGCGCATTCTCGTAAACCACGAGCTAATCCATCAACTACAAGAGATCGTTTCAAAACATCTTGAAGAGCTTCTTCGACAGTCTAAACGCATAAATAATAATTTATTTATTTAGAAATTAATATTATTTGTTATTATTCTTATGATGTAATGAATATTGAGATAATAAAAATACCATTGCCCCCTTGGCAGGAGTATCAGAAGTAACATGAATTTCTTCACGTTCCTCCGACGCTTGCGATTCTATTTCACCACCTTCACCGCCTTCTTCATCATCTCGGTCTGTTACCAAAGGTGGCATCTTCTTATTTTATTAATAATAATTAACCGAAAACAAAATATTTTTCTTTGGTAATCTTAGACGTCTTCACTGTTGGCGAGAAAAGAGATAAAAATGTTTTAGAAGAGAACAAGGGAAAGAATAAAAATAAAATTAATAAATCAATATATATATACAATTGAATGGATGGATATCCATTTTTCAATCATCACTATTATTAATTATTTATTTAATGTCATCTATCATTAAAGAAAAAATTTTTTCGATAAAATTTCTTACATGATGCGCTGCTATGCTTTCTCCCCCTTTACTTACGAAAGAGAATGGTTTTCAAATTTAAAAGAGGGGGAATCAATAATTTCGATTTAATCTCTTTTTTATAATGGATTTTTTTTTTTTGGTGATTTGATTGGTTTAATCATCGTTATCCCCCTGTGAAGAGTTGTGAAAGTACAATTGACCTACTCTAATTTTATCATTATTTTTTTGCAGCCATGTGATTAAGATTTATACATATAATTGGTTGTATAATTTATTAATGTTCAAATAAGTTATAATTGTAATAAAATTTGTAGTAATAGTGGTTCTACAGATGCATCCCCTAATTTTAATATTATTCCAATTATTACATCTACTTAATGCTATATATTCTTATCCTTTTTCAAAAATGAATTATGTAAAGGGAAAAATCTCAAATAAGATGAGTTTCATTTTTAAAGTGATCTAAGTTAAATTCAAGTGATCCAAAAATTTGTTTCTTACATAATACTATTGATATAAGTCTTAGTAATCTTCTTCCAGATTTATATTTTAAATTATATTTTGATAAATATCTTAACAATAAACATTATAATTTCTAAGCTTATTACTTACTTTTACAATTTTAATTATAAGTGGAAATAACATAATTATGTTATTTCCACTTAGTCTAGGTTATTCCCACTCAGGTGGGTGGCGTGACGACAGAAATTGGCCACCATTGTTATGTGGTCTGATGACAAAAGTTGGCCACATCCGAACTGACATATATCTGGTTGGTGGTCTGGCTGATTTCTATTATCAGATTGCATATAACATATTGTATATCAATTTGGTAATCTCAGTTGATTTTAAAACTAATGAGCTCCCCGAGTTAGGTTATGCTAGTTGGTAGGTGACTACTCTGTATAATGTTTTATAGCTTTTAGATTTTTAAATTCGTTATCAAAAAATATATAGTATATGGTAACTATATTTGATTTCGAATGTAAGGAGCTTCCCGAAGTACACTCCCCTGCCAAAAGTATCCGACCACCTAAAAATTTATATTTTTTAAATAAATTTTTATTTACTAATAACTCATAATCTAATTTATTAAATTGGGTCAATTTTTTTTTGTTTTATTTTCCTGATTCTGGCCTTTCATATAATACCTTTTATATTGAAATTAGATGAATATTTGTTGAAAAAATTTAACTTAAAAAAACTTTTCAAAATTTGAATTTTAAAACTATAACTTTATAATTATTCGATTTCGATAAGTATTGATCGTAACTATA